CATTTCAACATAATCAACTTATGCCTGTGCTCTCTGTCTATATAATCTCAAGTGTCCCAATGCTAAAAAAAAAATTCTTATGAGTTACATGTGTCATATTCCCATATAGGAAGATAAATAGTTTTATCTTATGATGTCATTTTCTTTTTCATATTTACCTTTTGATGCTTCTCTTGAGTCTTGTGTTTGCATATCAGATTTCTATTCACTTCTGTTCCTTTCATCAGAAATGTTTGAAAGTCCTCTATTTCATCAAATAACCATTTTCCTCCTGAAATATCATACTCAGTTGTGCTGCGTACTATTTTTTTTTGTGTGTTCTAGAATATCAAGTTTCAAGCCAGCACTCTGCTCGTTTAACATGACAGCTGCTAAATCTTGTGTGATCTTGATTGCATCTCCATGATATTTGAAAAGTTTCTTCTAGTTGAGCAGGTTTGGTCTCAATTTGTTACGCAGTAGAGATGTGTTGCTTAATAAATTCTTATGCTCCAGAGCTCAAAACTTTATTTCCTCAGTTATTTCAGATTTCACCAATCACAGGTTTTTATGGTCAAGGTTGTTGTTGTTTACTCATTTTTCTAGCCTATTTCTTATATTTGAGTTTTGTGTTAAAGTTAAGTTTTGCTCACCTGAGGGGTGGGGCACTGTTCTAAACTTTAGGCTTTTTTGCTTTGCAATTTCACAGCTAATTGAAGAGTTTGGAAGTTTTTAGTGCTTCCAGGGTGATGTGATCTGGGGAGAGGTGTGGTCCTTTCTCCTCTGGTTTGTGTTATGGTCCTTGCCTAGGAAGGACTCCTGCTTCCTTGTAACCATAAGTGCTAGGGCTTCTCTCTACCCTGAAACTGTGACCAGGGCCCCTGATCCTTTCTACAAGTGTTTCTTTCTGCCCTAGAACCTCTGCCTACCCAGAACCAGGTATGGCCAATTGATTTGACAAACAATGCCCAGTTGTGTGTCCTGTGCTAGCACAGGGGGCCCCTATAATCAATTTCAGAACAGTTTTCCAGTCATCTGACCATTTCTGGGCTGAGAGTTCTGAAGCTGCTGTTTTTGCTCTGCATAGAAGCCTCCAAGGCCCACACGCAGCTGGGGCTGCCAATGTTCCTGCTGTGTGTTTTCCAAGCCAGCCCTCACCCCAGTGTCACAGACTTCACCTTCTGACCTCCTAAGTTTTCTTGTACTGGAAAACAAAATGTCTCCATCTGATATTTGGTTGGCTATGACACTTCTGAATTCAGTTTAAAGTATTCTTTAAAAATTGCTTGGAAGGGAATATTGGGAGAGCTCAGCAATAATATTCCATCTTCTCTCTCATTTTGACACTGCCCTAAATTTGATTTTTTAATATCATCTATTTAAGCTTCTCTTCATTTCTGATATTCTTTCGATTCTACACTCAAACCTTCATTTGGAAGGGCGAATGAAAGCACCAATCTCCACCCTTCATTCACCACCAATTTAGGTTCCCATTCAGGAATGTGCTCTGGAGTTCTTTCTCTGCCTTACTTAAGTATGGGACTGTGTGGGATGGGGCAGTAATAGAGATTCTTCAGTAGTTGTAGAAATTTTAAGAGCTCCACTGGAGGTTCTTTCAGATAATCCAATCCACCCTGGGATTTCAAGAGTGGAGAAAGAGTTTGGATTCCCCTTGCCTAGTTATTCCACATCTGCCTGAAGCCTCCTACTCATAGTCAGACCTACACAGACACAGTTAGAACTACAGTGACATGAAGATTTGGCTGTAATGTCAACATATTTTTGTCATCACCAGATTTAGACTACTAACAACACAATTGTGGGACAGAAAGAAAACTGTTGGCTTTTATAGGTTTTTTGCTTTTGAGAAAAATCTAAAACCAGCAGTTTTTCAAGGAAAAAACCAAATGTTCACAGTTGCCTTTGGCTGACTAAAATAAGCATTCTATGCTTCTATACTCTCTTTTATCCCCAGCGACAGAACAATGCAATAAAAATACTTTCTATTTATATAGTGCTTTAAGATTTACAAACCAATTTGCTCATACTAACCATAGGTAATGAAAGTATTTTTATCTCCATTTTAGAAATGAGAAAACTGATACTTATAACATGGCTACTATGTTTTTTTTATTAATTTATTTTGATTTATAAACAATCACTTCCACAAGCTTTTGAGTTTTAAATTTTTCTCCCCCTCCCTCCCTCCCTCCCTTCTTCCCCAAAATAGGAATATAAATTCCTATTAAACACATTTTCACATTAGTGATGTTGTAAGTAAGAATTAGAACCAATAGGAGTAACCACCAGAAAGAGGAAACAAAACAGAAGAAAAAATAGCAAATAGTATGCTAGGATCTGCATTCAAACTCTGTAGTTCTTTCTTTGGATGTGGATAGCATTTTCCATCACTAGACCTTTGGAGATGTCTTAGGTCCTTGCATTGCTGAGAAGGGCTAAGTTTATCAAAGTTAGTCATCACACAATGTGGCTGTTACTGTGTACAGTATTCTCTTGATTCTGCTCACTTCACTCAGCATCAGTCCATATAAGTCTTTCCAGGTTTTTCTGGTCTGCCTGCTCATCATTTCTTATGGCATGATAGTATTCCATTACATTCATATACCACAACTTGTTCAGCCATTCCCCAATTGATAGGCATCCATTCAATATCCAATTCCTTGCCACCACAAAAAGAGCTGCTATAAATATTTTTGCATATGTGGGTCCTTTTCCCACTTTTACAGCCCTAGAAGTACTATTGCTGGGTCAAAGGGTAGGAACATTTTTTAGAGTCCTTTGGGCATAGTTACAAATCGGCTACTTTGTTTTGCAGCAAGGATTTGAACCTTCCGGCCACTTCTCTCTGCAGAAAAGGCAGCTTGTGAACCTGACTCATAAGATAACCAGTCAGAAGCCAAAATACTGGGAATGTGGTTACAAAGTGTTTATTGAAACAAGGAAACAAAAATATTTTTAAAAAATTTGCCTTACAAAAAAAAAAGGACCAGCCTTCTAAATCACTTTGAAAAGGAGTACAATATATAAATGGCAAAGAAAAAAATTCAGTCAAAATCATAGAGAAAGGAATTAAAGGAAAATGCAAGCAGTGAATAGAGAGGAGTCAAAAGGGAAAGCCCACTCCTCTAAAATCTTTGGAATTTTAGGACCAGAATTGTACAAATGGGAGTGTGCTGCAATTGACAGTTTGTGACAAAGGTCACTTGGATGGCCAAGAAGGGATTGGAAAGTTAAGGGCATGCCGTAAAAGTCTTTGTTAACAACCCAGTTTGGGCCAAATTGATGAATCAGCAGTGAGGCACATGGAAGAAAAGTCTGAATCATCCCTTAACATTAACATTTAATCAACTGAGAAACCCATAGACAAGAGAGTGATTGGGTGAATTAGCGTTCTTTTTCTCCTCCTCCCTTTCCTACGCATCTGTTTCCTAAACAGAGTCCCAGGACCAAGCTAAAAGCAACCCTGCCTGTTCATGTTCTCCAACGACATTATGGTCTTTGTAGCTAAAAGGAAATGCTGGTCTTGTCTTTGGGGCTCCCTCTCTATAGTAACAGTTGTCTGTTTGATATGTGTTCTCCTGGTGAGGTTTGTGACATTGGACAAGTCACTTAATCTAATTTTCCATATTTGTAAAATCGAATAAAAGCAGTATCTTCTCAGGATTATTGTGAGGATCAAATGAGATAATATGTGTGAAATAGTTCACAAAGATTCAAATGTTATATAGATGTCAGTTATTATTGTGAAGCACAATTACACAAAATGCAATTTTGGCAGCATGGAGAAATTCCTCCTTCCATCCCTTTAGTAGAGATTGAAACTCACAATTTAGTAGTTAAGTCCTAGGTTGTTGCTCAGTGTATACAAAGTAAGGGGAAGGAAAGAGAATAAGTATTTTTAAAACTATTATTATGTACCAGCATTGTTCTAAATGCTCTACAAATATTGTTATTTGATAACCCAAGTGAAATTAATAACAACAATGATAATAGCTAATATTTATATAGCACTTTTATTTATATCACTTATGTAAGTGCTTTGCAATTTGATTTTTTTTTCATTTGAACCTTTTGGGAGGTAGGTCTTATTATCATCTCCATTTTATAGATGAGAAAATTGAGGCAAACAGAGTAATTTGCCCAAGGTCACACAGCTAATAAGTATCTGAATGTACATTTGAACTCAGGTCTTACTGACACTGTGTCTACTGTGTCTTATCACTGAATTATCCAGGCTTGAAGTATAGGGAGCTTAAAGGAGACAGGAGGGGTATGACTGTAAATGGGGAAGGCTAATCAGTAGAATCCACACAATAAAATGCAAATATATCTCTTATCATTACATTGTAAACTCCTTGAGAGCTGGGATTGTCTTCTTATTTATATATCCCCAGGACTCATCACAATGCCTAGAATACACTATTGAGTTGAATTAAATTAAGAGAACTGGGAAAGTTTTCCAGTACTTTGAATAGAATTCACAGCACAATCTTAAGAGGTGAGTGCTACCACAATCAGAAAGGCAAGAGGAATTATCTATGGGAGGGGGAGCTGGAATACTATTGCTCTGCTCCTAAATACCTCTTCTTTTTTTGGCTATGAAGGTGGAAAGGTATCTCCAGGCTACATTTCTCATTCTGTAAGTTCTTTCTATCATTCCCAGAACTTGCCATGCTCATGCTTTATTCATCTTTTCTTGAGACATTCATAATGCAATGTTCTATCTCCTAATATTTAGCACTTAAGAAAAGCTAGCTAGTATTTATATAGTGTTTTAAAGTCTACAAAGAACCTTACAGATACAAACATATTTATGTAAGTTATAAATGTATCTTCTCTTCACAACAACCCTGAAGGTGGGGTGTGTGCTGTTATTATCCTCAGTTTTTCAATGAAGAAACTGAGACTGATTGCCCCGACCTGCAGGGCCAGTATACGTGGGGGGTCGAGGAGGACCCTGGCTGAAGGGAATGGGTGAAAAGGAGGAGTGAGACCAAAAGGATGGTAGGCAAGGTCTAATTTTATTTTTGAGCGTTACAAGCTTATATAGGGCAAAAGCGGGGAGGGGCAAAAGGGGAAAATGGGCCTCCGGGACTTTCCAGGGGCGGTGTGGCAACATCTTGTTTGTCCGGTTTGTCCCGGAACAAGCTGCTTGGGGTGTGGTAATCTCACGGGGTTAGGGGCCCACTACCAGGTGCTGGCCTCCAGCATGTCCCCCATTTTGTATTTAAAATAGCAGGTGAGAGGCCTGTCTTAGGCTATGAGGTCGGCCTCCATGTTCAAAGCGCATTAGTGGCAGTGGTCCCTGTCTTAGGCTAAGCGAGGGGACCCCACGATGTAACCCATCATGGCCTCACTCTATTCCCGTCATGGGGAAACAACTGCAGCCGCGCTGATCTTTTTTTTTGAAACATGGGACCTCAATATTCCCGTCATGGGCTCTCTCACAGCTGCCAGATCACTTTTTATCCTTAATATTTCTCCACCACCGCGAGCAGCGAGATTCCGGATGCACGAGCTTCGAGAACTGGAGACCCTCTTCCATGGTATCAGTAGGATCTTCTGACGAAGCAAGTTGGTGGTAATGGATATTGACGGTGTTTTTAAGAGAAGCCTCAATCTGCGTCTTAATGAAAGAGGTTAGTCTGGTAAAGGCCCAAGGTCCAAAAGAAAAAAGTAGGAGGAGACCAATTAAAGGTCCAAGAAGAGGGAGGAGGTATGGGAGGACTCCATTCAAGCCACTCCAGAGGGGATTTTCAAAAAGTTTTCTGCGTCTTTCAATCAGATCCTCTTGCAGTTTTTTGATTTTATCCCGCACTATCCCAGATTTATTTGCATAGAAGCAACATTTTTCTTGTAGGGCTAAGCAAATTCCCCCTTGTTCTGCCGTGAGTAAATCTAGGCCCCTCCTATTCTGAAGAACGACTCCCGCCAGGGAGTCAATTTGGTCTTGAAGGTCATTTATCGTCCCCGAGAGGGTTTGCACATCATTAAGAAATTGATGGGATAGTTTTGTATATGAATCAACAGCAACTCCTATGCCGGCAGAGCCGGTAGCGAGTGCCCCTGTAATCCCAAGGCCAACAAGGAGGGGGATAAATGCAACAGCCCTCTTGGGTCTTCCAGTAATATAATCAAAACTGGGCAGTGGGACAGGCTCATCTCCCGGAATGATGTCGATATCAGGGAGGATTGAAATTTGTGTGCAGAGTCCTGTCCAATTCTGGGGAGAGCAGAGTAGGCCATATTTCCCCCACAGGCGAAAAGTTGTCCCGGCAGGGGACAGAGAGGTTCCTGTGAGGTATAGTTTTTGACTTCAGAGCAATTAGCAAAGGTAGCAAAACCAACATCAATATCAGCAGTGGAATTCTGAAATGGGGCTTGGATACAAGGAGAGGGGCGGAGACCAACAGGTTGTACCTTAAAAGGTGGACTAAGTGTGCAATTTGTGGATGTGGAGCCATTTTTGGACATCAAAGCTATGGGCATAGGTGTGCCAAGGGCCATACACAGCCAGCAATCGGCAGCCAAATCAGGGTTAGAGTAATTAAGGGCCTTAAGTGTTGCTTCAAGGATTTCTGAAGTTTGGACATCTAGGTCCGTTCCCCGGGGTTTGGGCAGTGCAAGTGGATGGTAATGGATGGGGGGATACATACTCTTAATTATTTCATTTATTCGTTCCCTAACCTCATGTTCCCTAATTTGGTCTGTAGGGCCACCCCCATCAGAGATATGGACAGGTGCATGAAGGGGCCAACAGACATTTTTTCCAATATTTTCTTTACGACAGGAAGCCTGAGCATACTTATTGGTACTTCCACGTAGGCCTTGGCTAGTTATATGCGCCCAGTCCCCTCCTGTGGAGCCACCATATTCTCTTTCCTGTATTGTAGTAAGATAGACTGTTCCTGAGCTGCCACTGCACTGCTGGGTAGAACTATAGCATGTGGAGTGCAAGGCCTCAAGGTAGTTGCAATCACTGGGGCAAGGCCCGGGCTGGCCACCATTCGGAGGGATAACTCGGGGCTTCCTTACGCATTCCCACTTGGGTTTGGAGACGCCCGTGATAGAATGACGGTAGGCGAGGTAGGCTGTCTTTTCCCCGCAGTCCACTTCTTGCGTGTAGGTGGCGGGACGGACAGTGAACGTGCCCCCGCCGCAGTCACAAGGGCTTCCAAAGAGGGCACGGCTGAGCGCTACTGGGTCAGGAGATTGAAAACCACCGTGGCTCCCACGGAACAGGAGGAAAATTACGAGGATCGTCATTTTCTGTAAAACAGAGAAAGAAAACAGAGGTGTCTCAGGGGGGTGTGGTTCCCTGGACGGCATTATGAGTTTCTGGCTTGTCCATCAACCTAATCAGCCTTTCAGGCAACCATCTAGCATTTTGGCACTTTGAGTCATAAATACAAGCATGGCCTTTGCCCCAGATTAACACAGGATCAGGGCCCTGCCATTTGCCAAGCAGGGGATCTTTCCATTTTGCCTGAGCGTAGGTTTGGGCCGTAGTGGAATGCCAAAGGCGGTCTGCGGCACTCTTTGCCGCAGTGTCCAGAGTGAGAAAATTTAAAACAAAAAGAGCGTGATTGAGCAATGTTTTGGCATTGCCAGCTCTGGGATAAAGAACTTCCCTCCCTGATTGTAATTTCAGGATCATGTTTTTCAGTGTCTGATGGGCCCTTTCCACAATTCCTTGCCCTTGAGGATTATAGGGTATACCAGTAACATGCTTAATATGCAACTGTGTACAAAAAGATCTGAAAGAAGAACTGGTATAACCAGGGCCATTATCTGTCTTAAGAATTTTGGGCTGCGGGAGGACCGCCAAGGCACTAAGGAGGTGATTAATGACATGTTTGGTGGCCTCTCCAGGTTGCAGGGTGGCAAAAATGAAGCCACTGAAGGTATCAATGGACACATGAACATATTTAAGCCGACCAAAAGGGGGATAGTGAGTGACATCCATTTGCCAAAGTTCCCCGGGGATAAGACCTCGGGGATTGATGCCATTATGAGGTTCAGGAAGGAGGGTCAGGCAACCAGGGCACTGTTTCACAATCTGTCTGGCTTGTTCCCGGGTTATAGGGAACTTGAGACGAAGCGTATGGGCATTCAGGTGATGCAGCTTGTGGGCTTGTGTGGCAGCCTCAACAGGGGAGGCAGACAGAGCAAGCAGAATGCGACGAGTTACTTGATCAACCTGATCATTCCCTTCAGAAAGAGGACCGGGGAGGTCGGAATGGGCACGAATATGACCAATGAAAAAGGGGTGATCGCGGGAGAGAATTAGAAGCTGAAGAGTGGCAAAAAGAGGAGACGCATTAGTGGAGGGACGGATATACGGGACGGTTTCCAATAGAGGGACTGACTGTGCAATATAGGAACTATCAGTATAAACATTGAGGGGGCCCGAGACAGATTCAAAAACCTTAATGACCGCTGCGAGCTCTACCAGCTGCGCGGAGGTGAAAGGGGTGTCAAAAGAGGTGACCTGTCCATCAACACTAAAGGCTGCCTTCCCTGTGGCGGAGCCATCAGTGAACGCCAAATGGGCGCTCTCTATGGGCTCCGCTTTGGTGATCCTTGGGAAGACCACGGGTGTTTTCTGAAAGAACTGAATGAGCTTATCTGAGGGATAATGATTGTCTATAGCTCCCATATAGGAAATGCAATTAACTGCCCAATCATCATCATTCTGAAGCAGCCATTGAATCTGCGAAGCAGTGTAGGGGCAAACAATATGATCTGGTTCTCGACCAAAAAGTCGAAGGGCTGCCTCTCGGCCGAGGCGCAGGAGCCCTGCCGTTAAATGCGGGTAGGAAGAAAGGATCTTTGTAGGTGTGGCTGGCATATGAATCCAGAATAACGGATGTCCCTGCCATAACAATCCAGTGGGAGAAAAAGTGGTGGAAAAAATTAAGAACCAAAGAGGTTTTTGAGGAGCGTAATAGCCAATATGTTGTTCATGAATGGCTTGCTCAATTAAGGCAAGGGCCTTACGGGCCTCCGGCGTGAGAGAGCGGGGTGAATTTGGATCGGAGTCTCCTTTAAGAATATCAAACAAGGGTCGCAGTTCCCCTGTAGTGATCTTAAGATATGGCCGAAGCCAATTCAATTCTCCCAGTAATTTTTGGAAATCATTAAGGGAGCAAAGGTGACTCACTCGTAGGCGAACCTTCTGGGAGAGAATGCGATTCGTCAAGAGTTCAAATCCCAAGAACAGCTGGGGGGGGCAGGTTTGCACTTTATCAGGGGAAATATTAAGGCCCCGATATTCCAACGCCTTAATGAGCTCCTGTGATACCTGAGTCAATTCCTCATTATTTGGTCCTGCAAGGAGGATATCGTCCATATAATGGATAATATAAAGCTTGGGATACTGCAAGCGGAAAGGATCAATTGTTTGGGCAACATATTTTTGGCACAGCGTAGGGCTATTAGCCATGCCTTGTGGCAAAACTTTCCACTGAAAGCGCGGAGAAGGGCCCACACAATTGGTAATAGGAACACTAAAAGCGAAGCGCTGACAATCGGAAGGGTGGAGGGGAATGGAAAAGAAGCAATCCTTAAGATCAATTGTAATCTTAGAAAAATCTTGCGGTATGGCTACAGGGGAGGGGAGCCCAGGTTGAAGGGCCCCCATAGGAATCATAGTTTTATTGACGGCCCGTAAATCATGTAAGAGTCGCCATTTACCTGATCTTTTTTGGATAACAAAAATGGGCGTGTTCCACGGGGATGTAGATGGTTCTATGTGACCTGCAGCTAGTTGCTCCTGCACTAAAGCAAGCGCTGCCTCCAGTTTTTTCTTGGGTAAGGGCCACTGGTCTACCCAGACGGGTAGGTCATTTCTCCACGAGATCCTATCTGCCTGGAGTGCAGGAGGACCCGTGGCCCTCACGAAAAATGGTTCTGATTATCTGGGCTCTCACAACCAAGGCCTGCTCGTCCTTTTCTCCCTTCAGCAACAATGGGGGACAGTTGCCCTTGACCTTTCTTGCCTAATCCTTGCCCTGGGAGAAATCCCTGGGAGAGCATTTGACGGGTCACAACGGTATTTGGGCTGCACATAATTACCCCCATCTGTGAAAGAATGTCCCTTCCCCATAAGTTGACAGGTAAGCCGGGGATCACAAAAGGCCGAACAGTCCCTTTATTTCCTTCTTTGTCTTGCCAAGGCAGCCATTGAGAGCTCTGTAGGGTATTGTGGGATTGACCTATGCCCTGCAAGTGTGTCATGGATGGTTGAAGGGGCCACGAAGATGGCCAACTGTCTTTTGAGATAACAGTCGAGTCAGCTCCTGAATCTAATATTCCTTCAAAAAGCCTGCCTTGAATAAAAAGCGTAAGCATGGGGCGGTCTTGGGAAATGGCCTGGACCCAATAGATGTCTGAGGAACCAGGCTTGGAGTGGCCTCTAACAGTGGCGAGAGCAGGGTATGGAGTCTGTAGGGGGAGCGGGAGAGCCTGCGCAAGGCGTTGTCCCTGACGGACAGTGAGGGGCCCTTTCAGGGTTGAGGCAAGTATCTGAATTTCCCCCGTGTAATCACTATCCACAATGGAGGGGTGAATCATGAGGCCATTAATAGTAGCGGAGGCGCGACCAAGGATGAAAAAATAGAAGTCAGGGGGCGGGGGGCCAAAGATGCCTGTAGGAATAATATGGACGCCACCCTCGGGAGTCAATACTGAGGTGGAGGCGGCACACAAGTCCACCCCTGCGCTTCCTGCAGTGGCTCTGAAGAGTGGGATGTGGAGTGGGGTGTGGACTGGCTGATCCCCGAGGCCCGAACAAAGGGGGTCGACTGGGGGGCCCGGGGCTGGCCCCTCCGACCGTTTCCCTGTAAAGGGTGGCCATGAACGTCTGTAGTTGAGCGGCAGGTATTTGCCCAGTGTTTCCCTTTCCTACACCGAGGGCAGAGGGTGGAGGGTTGGGAAGCCTTATTGCTGATTGGAGCGGAGGGAGTGTCAGGGGCACTAGGGCACTGTCGGGCAAAATGGCCAGGTTGACCACACCGGAAGCATGCCTTTTGGGAGTCCCCGGTTTGGAGAGCTGCCCCTATGGCCAGATGTACGGCCTGGGACATTTTGGTAGTGAAGGGATCTACATCTCTGCACATACGTATCATTTCCTCTAATGTTTTATCTCTCCACTTCCCGCGTAAGGCAGACCGACAGGCATTGTTAGCATTTTCATATGCTAAGCGTCTCACAAGCTGATCATTAGACGCTTCTTGCCCTAAGGTTCGTTCAGTTGCTTCCAAGAGCCTACTAACATACTCAGAGAAATCTTCCTGAGTTCCTTGTACGATCTTATTAAGCGGAGCAAGGGGGGATCCAGAAGTGGGCAAGGCACGCCAAGCCGCGAATGCAGCATTGGCGGTTTGCGCCAAGAGGCCTATTGGGAGGCAGCGTTGTTTGGCCTCCTCTGCGTATTTCCCTTGACCACTCAACTTCTCATAAGTCCACTTTAAAGCGGGGGAGCCAGGGGATTTTTGGTTGGCTGTAGCCATGGATTGGCAGCGGTCGAAGAAATCTGCTTTCCATGTCAAGAACTGCCCCCTTGAAAGGACTGCCTGTACTACACGAAGCCATTCTGCCGGCAAGAGATATCCTCCGCGGGACATAGATTCAAGAGCTGAGAGGGTGAACGGGGCGTTAGGACCATAGGACTTGACGGCGGCGTTAAGATCCTTAATCCCTTTGAACTGCAATCTCCTATATTCTAACCGCTGTCCTTCCTTTTTTCCAATTGCCCATTCCTCTTCTTCTATTTTTCCACTATCCTGTCCCTCCCCCTCTCCCTCGTCCTCTTCCCCTTCTTCCTCACTTTCTTCATCTCCCTCCCCTTCACTGGCAGAAACTTCCTTGGGGTCGTTGTGTGAGGAGTCAGGCTGACGAGACCGGGTCATAACAGGGAATATCATGGGCTGTGCCTTGTTAGATTTTCTATCTCTAGCACTGGCTCTGATCTTTTTCAGGGGTTTCTGATGTAACTGCGACCTATTGGGGGAAAAAATGACAGAATTCTGGAGGGAGTGTTGCAGGGAACTCAGTTCCGAAGAGAGTTGTGCATATTGCTTTTGTAGATCTAAGACTTCTCGGAGCTCCTTAACTTGAGTGGAGAGTTGACTTCTGGCGGATGTGAGGGCTGAGGAAGTGGGAATGGGGGGCAAAAGCGCAGGAGCGCAAGTCTGGGATATGTAGGGAGGGGGTAGGTACTGGGGAGTTATGGGCCAGTCCGGGTTATTATATCGGGCGGCTTC